CCTTCCTGCCTGGGACTAGATTGCCTTTGTGAGACTAACATTAGCCACAAGATTAGAAATTATGGTTTAGGATTTATGCAGCTGGAGGCTACAAGATTCTGCCCCTCCCTCAGCTCCTCCTAAGATAAGGGCTTCAGATATTTTGCAGACCCTGCACTTGGTGGATCAGCTGGCATCGCCCAGATCAATAAATTGGCTCCTCTGCTCTTGTGGTCCCCACCCAAGCACTGACTCAGTGCAAGAAGACAGCTTTGACTCCCTATGATTTCACCCTGACCAATCAGCACTCCTGGCTCACTGGCTCCCCCAGCCCACCAAGTTATCCTTAAAAACTCTGCTTCCCAAATGCTCAGGGAGACTGATTTGAATAATAATAAAACTTTGGTCTCCCAAACAGCTGGCTCTGTGTGAATCACTCTCTCTCTATTGGAATTCCCCTGTCTTGATGAATCGGCTCTGTCTAGGCGGCAGGCAAGGTGAACCCTTGCGCAGTTACATCTGGGGGGCAGCAGGGAACTTGGGAGTCAGGCTTCTGGTTTGCCTCTGCCTCCAAGACCTTGGCCAAATCCTTTCTCTTCTCTGAACCTCAGTTTCCTTTTCTAAAACAAGAAAGTGTTTCACCCCAGATCATGCTGCCTATAACTAAACCTGGGGTGGAGAGAAAAACTGGGTCTCACAGACACGGCAGATGGAAGGGTCAGGAAAGGAGCAGGCTCAGGTGGTGGTCTGGACTCTCGAGTGCTGCCAATCACTCACCCGGGTCTTCATCATCCTTGTGCACACATCCTCCTTCCCCATTCTAGGTCTGCAGCCTGGACCAGGCTTCTCGCTCCTGATCAAAGACACAGGTAGCCCAGGAGACTCCTCAGAAAAGGGGTCCACAATGCAGGTCCTCCCTCAGCTCCCTCCTCCATCACCCAGAAGCCACCTCGACAAAGCTTACATGTGGGGTGCTGGCCCTGGGCACTGCTCAGGGATGCTGGATCACACAGTCCCACCTTCCTCCACCCCTGACCTCCTGCCCCTTCCAGATCAGAGCAGAGCATCAGGAGGGTTACCTGGCTCAGCACCCAGCTCCCCAGCCCCCTTCCCGGCCCCTCTGCCCCCACTCACCTCGCTGATGTGTTTACTTAAGGCTGAATTCTATATCTGAAAGTTCATTAATTTTTTGTGGGTGCCAAAGTGCGGATCATTTGTGCTTATCCTCAACTAAATAAGTCAGGTCATAAGAGGTAATGCCATGGGTAGTGGAATGTAAACAAACACATTCTACCTCAATAAACATGCTAATTTCCAGCTATAATATTCACAAGTAAAAGATCTATCACGCCGACCCTATTTGGCAAAGGCAGCCGGCCTCATCCGTCAACGAGGGAGGCTCCCGCCAGTTCGCTGCAGGAGGGAAATAGTACAACTTAACTTGCTTGATGACGCCCTCAGGGAGAAACATGAGCCTCATAAATGAGTCTGGAAATGTGATAAAAGGATAATCTTGCATAAATGAGCCTACATCATCATTACCTGCACCGACCAAGGCCAGGCACGAGGGTTTGAGTGATGTAGCCACATTTCACATAAATGAAGGCTGTGGAGTTGGTTCGCCAGCGGGAGCCCTTTGTCCTGCCACGTCCCACTGGTCACCCTAGCCTGAGGCTTCCATGCAGGATTCTGTGGGGCCAGGGGAAGGCTTCAGCCCTAGCTGGGCTGAGGCTGGCGGTGTTGCCACAGAGGGCAAAGACAGCCCAGACCCTACAAGAATATGAGTGCAGCCCTTGATGAATGGGTGACATCAGAGACGGTCTTTCCCCAATCCAATCCGTAGAAAAACTAAGGACTCTTTTACTCAGTAATATGTATTGGACACCTATTGTAAGCCAAGGCACCGAGCTACATACTTGGAACACCCCCACCCCACCACCAAAAAAATATGAAGTTCTTGTATTAACAGTTCCCAGTCAGCTCAGGGAGGCAGCGCACGTCCTTGCATCTGGGTGGGTCTGTGCCTTCTAAGTGCAGAAGGCACTCAGAAAAGGGTGCTGTGGTGTGCACGTGTGTTCCCCCAGATTTATATATTGAAATCCTAAGCCTCAAGATGAGGGCATCAGGAGATGGGACCTTTAGGGGGTCATGAAGATAGAGTCCTCTTTAATGGGATTTTAGTGCCTCATCAAACAGGCCCAAGGGAGATCCCTTGCCCCTTCCTCCCTACGAGGTCACAGTGAGAAGACAGCTGTCTACAAGGAAGTTGGTCCTCTCCAGGTGCCAGATCTCCCAGTGCAGATTTGGGCTTCCCAGCCTCCAGAGCTATGAGACATGCACTTCTGCTGCTTATTAGCTGCCCTGTCTTTGGTATTTTGTTACCACAGCCCAAGCCAACTAAGACATAGGGAAAGATGTGCTGGGCCTGGGGTGGGGGGGCAGGGAGGGGTAAATGACAGCAGGACACTCTGGGTGCTGAGTGGGGAAGGGTCAGGCTCCTTCCATGCTGTCCCCATCAGACCTGCACCCATCTATCTCCCTAAAGCCCATTCAGTCCTCCTTCCCTGAACAGTGGCCCTGCCCCACCCACAGCGGTGTGACTTCTGCTGTGTTCCTTGGTCCTTCTCAGTACGTTCAACAAAAGACGGAAAGATGGGGACAAATTCATAGAACCTTGTACACAGCTTGGCGAAAAGCTGGTGGGGTTCTAGATGCTCCTTCCTAATCTTCCCTGGCCCCCGTCCCCATAGTGGGTGCTGTTGGTGCCCCACCCAGGCCCCTTACGCATGACATGTCTGGGACCCCCATCTCTCCACTGCTGTGAGTGTTGGTTGCTAACGTTCATGGCCACCCTTTTCTGCAGAAAACTGCCTTTGGCCGAAGAGAAGCCACCTCACCTGGAAAGGTACCCCTCAAGGTGAATGACATGGGAAGAGTGTCTAAGGCAGAGGGAAATCATGTCTTTCAATTTCCAAAGCACTTTTTTAGATCACTTCACAGCAAGTAGAACCAAGGATGTCAAACCAAAAGAATTTCCTTTAGAAGCCCCCAGACCGACCTCCCGGGTGAAGGGTGGCCAGCTCTCCTGTAGTAAATGCTTATTTCAGTAATGAAGGAAAATGTGTAAGTGGGTGAACAAAATAAGTCTGAACATCTCTCCAGCTGACATTTGTCCATCCTCTAGTTTCCCCTGTGCCTGTACCCTCATTAAACCAGAAAGCCCTTTGCAACAGGGACTGTGGTCATCAGGGAGTCCGTGAGACCTAGCTCTGCTCTCTGCACAGAATGATGCTCAGTGGCTATTTGATGCAAGCCCTTCAACTGTCAACTTCAGAGGAGAAGGAGGGGATCAAGAGCAGGGAGGATTTGGGTGTGTAAAGAAGACCTTCATTCATTCATTCACCAAATAACATTGTGATGAGAGAGTAGAATTTGTGACCAAGAAGGAAGAGAGAAAACTAGTGCACATCTACTGCAGGCAGAAATTGTATTAGATGCGTTCATAGGGGGCCACGTAAACCTCCAAATAACCTGGAGGTGGGGATTACTATTGCCATTTGCAGATGAAGAAAGTGGGTGGAGACAGCAGTACAACTGACGTCCAGGTGTATCTAGGTTCAGAGTCTCCGATCTTTTCATCCTTTCTCCCTTCCTTCATCTCCCTGGGAGGATATTTTTTAAACAGAGTTGCAGAGACCTGAAATAGATTAATCAGATCTTTACAGAAGCAAAAGATGGAAGGGAAGACCTCTGGGTGTCCTTTTCAGCAAAGAATCCTCTGATTCAGGCCACCTAGGCCCCTGAAGGGTGCTCAGAGGAGCCCTGCTGGGCAAGCCAAAGGCAGCCCTCCTGAGGCTTGTCTGAAACCACGCCCCCACCAACAAGGGAGCTGTGCTCCTAGGGATTGAATGATTCAGAATCTGTTGTAGGGTTAATTTTCCGAAGGAAAAAAGAGGTATAAACACTGTAGGAGGACTGGGCTGATGAGCTCATTGGAAACCTGAGCTGCAGAAGTCTTAGTCAAAAATGCTGGCTGAGAAATTGCCGGTCCCTGCCAAGCCGGGCCAATGGAAGTTTGCACATTCCCAGGCTGCGTGTTTCAAATACTTTCCGTGGTTTCGCCAGCGGAGGGCGAGGAGGGAAGAATCTGTCATTATCGACTTGGGTCTGCAAAACAGCTTGGCTGGCAGGGAACTTTGAAATCGCAGGAGGTGGAAAACCTGACTCATGATCTTCGGGGACTTGGGAATGTGGGTTGTGGGGGAGATGGGAGGGGGCGAGAGGCAGCCAGCCAGGGAAGGGGTGGTTCTTTTCACTCACTCTTGTCGGCTAACCTTGGCCACTGCCTCCACTCCCTCTGGTGTGAAAGCCCCATGCAGATTCCCAAACGTTCTTCATAGGTGTAAACATTTGTTGAGCACCTACTAAGTGACTTGCATGCATCCTGCTGTATATCTGATACAACAATCCAACAAAGTTGGCAGAGTGGGCATTTGTACCCATTTTTGTTTTTCTTTTTTTCATTTTTGAGACGGAGTCTGGCTCAGTCGCCCAGGCTGGAAGGCAGTGGTGCGATCTCAGCTCACTGCAACCTCCGCCTCCTGGGTTCAAGCGATTCTCCTGCCTCAGCCTCCCGAGTAGCTGGGATTACAGGCACATACCACCATGTCCAGCTAATTTTTGCATTTTGGGTAGAGATGGGGTTTCAGCATGTTGGCCAGGCTGGTCTCGAACTCCTGACTTCAAGTGATCTGCCTGCCTCGGCCTCCCAAAGTGCTGGAATTGCAGGCGTGAGCCGTGGCACCTGACCCTGCACCCATTTTTCAAAGGAGGGAACAGTTAAGAAGGTGTAGGAATTGCCCCATCCCACACAGCCACTGGCCAAGGTATCAGTTCATCTGCGTGTCGACTGCCTGCCTTGCGCTGGGCATGGGGTCAAGAACTGGGGTGGAAACATGGAGACAAGGCCCTTTTCAGGGAAGAGCTCAAAGTTTCACAGATTCAAACCGTTTGTTTTTTTTCCAAGACATCCATATGTGCTGCCAATGTGCTATTACTAAGCCACGTGAGGGGGATGAACACGGCAGATGCGGACCCAGACGACACGCGGGAGAGATGAAGAGAAACACCAGGGCAGGAGGAGCCCTGCTGACGAGTCAGGGGACCCAGCTTCTCAGTGTGGCCTGTTGCTCACTGGTGGTGTGACCCAGGATGTGCCACCGGTGCCCCTGCAGGTCTCCGTGTGTGAGGAGCGCCCTCTCCATGACAGCTTCCATTTGGAAGCACTGTTCCCTACGCACAGCTGCGCTCTTGCCGAGGCGAGCCCCTGCCACTCTCTGCTTGAATACCTTCCTGGCTGCAGGAGGAGGCTGCCCCCAAGGTGGAGCTGGCCAGAAACCCTGGGAAGTTCATGCCCCCCAGAGCAACCCTCAACAAAAGACAGGAGTTGGGGGCTGAAGACTCCAACCTCCTCTCCCTCAGACAGGAAGATTCTGAAGACACGTGTTACACGTGTCCCGGGACTCCCTGGAGGCCTGGGCCCCAGCTGCCGATGGTGGCACCTGCTCCTAGGCACCCTGCGTTCTCTCCTTGCCATCCCTCGCTCACATCCCCGGTGGGGCTTGCTGGGACCCCTCCCAAATGAACTCTGTGCAATCAGATCCTTGTTTCAGGCTCTGCTTCTTGGGAAGCAGAACCCATTTGGGGAGCCAAGTCATTTGTCTGAAATGGGGAGTCCAGTCCAGAAGGGGCTTCAGCCGTCTCTGGCTCCCACCCCATGATTGTCTAGAAAAAGCGAGGGAGGCCCAGAAGGGAGAAGTTGCCAGCTCCCTTGATGTGACTCTCCCGACCCTGTCCCCAGGCCTCCAGGAACGCAGCGCTGAGCCCCACTGCCCCCGCCTCCAGCCAAGGGCAAGGGTCAGGGCAGGTGCTCAGGGGACAGGAGAGCACAGATTGTGGAGCACCAACGTGGGGTGCTCTGGGCTGTGAGTCCCCTGGTGACCCCTACCCAAACCCTAACTGGCTCCTCAGATGCCCCAAGGAGAGGGGCTTTGGAGGGAACTGCAGAGAGCAGGAAGCCAGTGGGGCCTGAGGGCCAAAGAGCCCTCACTTGGCCTGGCTGTCCCCCCGACTCCCCCTGCCCCACTCCTGCCACGCACATCACATACCAGGACTAAGCCACCAACTGCCCTCTGCTCTCCTGCCCATGCCATTCCCTCTAGCTGGGGTGTGCTCCTGCCCCTCCCTCACAAACTCCTTCAAAAAGGAACTCCAGTCCAGTGCAGTGGCTCACGCGTGTAATCCCAGCACTTTGGGAGGTCAAGGCGGTTGGATCACAAGGTCAGGAGTTCGAGATCAGCCCGGCCAACATGGTGAAACCCCGTCTCTACTAAAAATACAAAAATAGCCGGACATGGTAGCAGGTGCCTGTAGTCCCAGCCACTCAGGAGGCTGAGGCAGGAGAATTGCTTGAACCTGGGAGTTGGAGGTTGCAGTGAGCCAAGACCACACCATTGCACTCTAGCCTGGGTGACAGAGTGAGACTCCACCTCAAAAAAAAAAAAGAAAGGAAGGAAGGAAGGAGGGAGGGAAGGCAGGGAGGCAGGAAGGAAGGCAGGAAAGAAGGAAGGAAGGCAGGAAAGAAGGAAGGAAAGCAGGAAGGAAGGAAGGAGGGAGGGAAGGAAGGAGGGAGGGAGGGAAGGAAGGAGGGAGGGAGGGAGGGAGGGAAGGAAGGAAGGAAGGAAACCCCTGGCCAAGTGGGGAGAAGCTGGGTTCTGTCTGAGAATCCAGGTTCTAGTTCCCCTCTGCTACTTCCAGGCTGTGTAACCCTGGGAACCTCACCTATGTGGGCCTCAGTTTCCTCATCCCCAAAGTGGAGAGACAGGCTTTCCCTCCCAGGCTCAAAGGTGATAACCTAGGTTGTACCTTTTTATGGTCAAACACAGATTTTATCATCAGGAGGCCCAGAAGGACATGAGACATTTTATGTCATCTTGAATGGGACTTCCTGGAGGCAGCAGGCCCCAGGCTGTGGAACGCACTGTGCCGCCTCACGGTCGTCTTTCCTCTCAGGGTGTCAGGCCCCGAGTGCTCACGAGGCACCTCCTTGCCCCAGACCTCATTACCCAGCCAGCTGGGCCCTCATACAGCCATTGTTCCTCTTCCCTGGGTGTGGAGCTGCCACACGCCAGCGTGGAAAATTCCTCCTTTCCCTGCTCTGCAGTCAAACCCCAGCCAAAACCCAGTCCCATCCTGGGACGGCGGACCCCTAAAGGGAAATAGAGGCAGAGTGTTCTGGCTCCAGGAATCAGCTAATGGAACTGTGTTCATTACTATGTAAATTACTTTAATAGCCTGGCTCCCCCTTAGACAATTATTCAGGGGCTTGAGGGCTGGGACTGGAGGGCCAGAGGGAGACGGGGGTCTCCACTCAGGGACGGATGCAGCATTTCCTTGGCCCAAGAGCTCCCTTCCATGGTTCCCCATGGGCGGGGTTGGACGCACAGTGGCAACCAGAGGGAAGGATGACTTCCAACCTGACCCTAGCCCATGCGGATCCTGGATGTGACACCGAGGTACAGACATCAAGTTCATCCTGGAAGGCAGTGACTGAAAAGGACCTCAGACAATCTCTAGCCACCTCCACCCCTCACTGTGTCTAGGGAGAAAGAGAAGCCCAGGGCAGGTGAGTGACTCGTCCAAAGTCACGCTGCAAGGTAAGGACCAAGCAGGGGCTGGCACCCTGGTTTCCTTGCTCCTGCCCACGAGTTCTCAAACTGGGCGCCCGTGGAACACAGGGTACCTGGGTGTCCTGCCTGGAGCATCATATGGTGAGGTTTTGCCCAGTTTGTGGAGAAAAGAATAAAGTGAAAGGGAAGCATTTTCTTGATTTCTGTGTGTGATTTTTGTGGGTTGTTTTTGTTGTTACTTTTTGTTTTGAGACAGTCTCGCTCTGTCACCCAGGCTGGAGTGCAGTGGAGCGATCTCTGCTCACTGAAACCTCCACCTGCTGGGTTCAAGTGATTCTCCTGCCTCAGCTCCCTGTGGCTGGGATTACAGGCGAGCACCACCACGCCCGGCTAATTTTTTTGTGTTTTTAGTAGAGATGGGGTTTCACCATGTTGGCCAGGCTGGTCTCGAACTCCTGACCTCAGGCGATCCTCCCACCTCAGCCTCCCAAAGTACTGGGATTACAGGTGTGAGCCACCACACCCGGCTCTGTGTGTAATTTTTAAATAAGATACCCCACAGATATGATATGTAATCATATTTTCTTCCACAAATTTGTTTGTTTTTTACTATGGAATTAATTACGTAAAATGTCATGGTGTTCTATAAAGGACACTGTGACTTTGAGATTCTCTACCCTGGGAGAGACCCTCAGCCTTAAGCATTTATTTTTATCTCAATTTTCCAGATAGGGGAAGAGAAACAGATACTAACAGGCTTGCCCTGGGACTCTAATGGATCAGTGCTCTTTATGCGCTCTGACTTGTTAGAAGTGTGTGTAATACGTTCTGAGACAGAGTAGAGCAGGACTCAAAAGGGAGGTGGGGAAGAGTGAGGTTCATGACATGCAAAGTTGTTGCAAGGACGGTGCATGCATGAGCGAAGCCCTCGAGCTGTGCTGAGTTGGCCCCATGACACCGCTCCTGGCTGCTCACAGGTGCAGTTGTGACAGGAGGTCCGCTCACACTGGCCTGGCAGTTCTGTGGCCACTTACTAGCTGTGTGACCTTTGGCAATGGCACTATTCTCAGAGCCTTGATCTCCGTTTACGTGTGTGTGAGACAGGGTCTCACTCTGTCACCCAAACTAGACTTGAACTCCTGGGCTCAAGCAATCCGCCAGCCTCGGGCTCCCAACATGCTGGGATTACAGGCGTGAGCCACTATGCCTGGCCTTGATCTCCTCATCTAAAAAACAAGAATAAGAATGCTTACCTCGGCTGGGTGCAGTGGCTCCTGTAATCCCAGCACTTTGGGAGGCTGAGGCAGGCGGATCACCTGAGGTCAGGAGTTCCAGACCAGCCTGACCAACATGGCGAAACCCCATCTCTACTAAAGATACAAAATTAGCCAGGTGTGGTGGCACATGCCTGTCATCCCAGCTACTCAGGAGGCTGAGGCGGGAGAATCTCTTGAACCCGGGAGGTGGAGTTTTTGGTGAGCCAGCATCGCACCATTGCACTCCAGCTTGGGCAACAAGAGTGAAACTGTCTCAAACAAACCAACACAAAAGAACGCTTACCTCGCAGGATGGCTGAAACAGTGAAATCAGACGGCGCTCCGCACCTGCCTCGCACAAAGTAATCATCCGCCTTCTCCTGCTTTGTCTCTGCCTCTCTCTCTGTAAATAGAGCTAAATATAAATATTTTTAAATTAGGTTCAGGTGTATAGATGTGGGATCAATGCAGTCAGCCATCAAAGCTCCCCCAGCGCCTTCCTTGCACCCCCAGTTTCATATATCCTCCCTGAGACCCAGAGTGCCCAGAAGGGCTCCAGCTGAGGTCGCTCAACGCCCCACACCCCCTAGACTTTGCCTGGCCTGTGGGCAGTCCCTGCTGTCCTTTGCTTGGGTGCCCACTGCCTGCCCCCCTCTGCCAGCCCCTAGTTCTCCCCTCAGCAGCCTCCACTGGGAAGCCTTCACTGCCTCCAGAACAGGGGGCCCTTTGGCCCTGATTGACTCTGTGGAGGCCTCAGGCCCCTCCTTCTCCCCTTCTCTCTGTGGCGTCACATGGATGTTCCAGCATGACCTCAGCTTGGGGTTACTTCCTGGAATCTGCTGGAAGGAAAAGGTAGGGTCGTCTGAGCCTCGGCTTCCTCCCCTGGGAATGGAGGAATAATACCGTGTGCACCGAGACGGTGCGAGGGAAAGGCGTGGGGGCTGTAGGCTCCTCCTGCAGCAGGGATCGTCAGCGCTGGCGATGGGTGTAACGTACAGACGTGAGTGCTGATGTGCAAAATATGCCAGGCTCTCGGCTTGGCAGAGTCTGGCATGCAGCTTCCTGGCCCTGGCTGCCATCTCCCCTTCCCTTCCTATTTGACCTTGGAAAAAGCCCCTTTCCCTCCACCTGGGCTTGGGTCAGCCCCTGCTCTGTGCTCCACGCTGCCCACCCTCCCTGTCCCAGCACAGCTCCCAGAAGTCTGCCGTGGGCTGCCCACCTGCCTGTCCTGTGCTGGACTGAGCTCTAGGAAGACAGGAGCTGTGCCTCATTCACCCGACTCTGGACTGGTTTTGGCTGCAAGGAACAGAAACGAACTAATACTTCGTTGTTTTTTTAGACAGATTTTCACCTTTGTTGCCCAGTCTGGAGTGCAATGGCACCATCTCAGCCCACCACAACCTCCGCCTCCCAGGTTCAAGTAATTCTCCTGCCTCGGCTTCCCAAATAGCTGGGATTACAGGCATGCACCACCACCCCCTGCTAATTTTTTGTATTTAGTAGAGATGGGGTTTGTCTGTGTCGGTCAGGCTGGTCTGGCACTCCGGACCTCAGGTGATCCGCCAGCTTCATCTCCCAAAGCGCTGGGATTACAGGCATGAGCCACCTCACCTGGCCCCAGCTAATATTCCTTAATTGAAAAGAGGAGTTTGCTGGAAGGCCATGAACATGGTTTAAGAGGAGCAAAGAAGATGCAGCTGGCCTCGGGAAGGGTTGGAGCCAGAAAGGGGTCGCACCCACACTTTTCCTTCATCTCTCATCCCTGCTTCTTTCCCCTGTCTCTGCCAGATTTGAAAGTGGAAGTTTTTGTTGAGGCCCAAAGTGACAGATACACCGTTAGCAAAGTGACAAGTGAACTATCTGCAGTGCACAATGTGTAAGTCCGCGGTCAACACCACTCGGACACCCTTAAGGCCCTCACCCCTCAGGCAGTTACGGAGGTGTTGGGAGTTAGAGATGGACGAGTTGGTGGAGGAGGAGCCTCTGGAGCTGTGCTGGGTGATGTGTGTCCTTTCTATCGATGCTGAGAAACAGCGATACCCAACGCTGAAGGAGGCTACGTGTGCCAGCCCCCGTGCCAGGCGTGATGCATGCGTGAGAAGGAGGCTACGT